ACTACTACTACTACTACTATAATAATACTACTACTTATTGGTACTAGTACTAGTACTAGTACTACTACAACGATTACTACTATTGTTATTATTTCTACTTCTACATCATGATCCCCAGCAGGGAATGAAGGAATGCATCCCAATGGTCGACCCTAAAGAACCCGCAATCCAAACCCCGCCTAAATCCTAAATTCTAGATTGTATAGACATCAAATCCTAGAGCATTTAACCCCGGACCATTTAGACAAATACAGAAGAGCCTGTAACCCTTCCATGGACAGAAAACACTTGGCCAGGTGGTGGCCAGATTGGCCGGACTCTCCGCCTGGGTCGAATTCTTTGGTGCATCGCTGCTGGTGGAAATGTGTCTGAGCGCTTTGTTTTGGCGGGTTTTTCAGAGCTAAAGATCCAAACAGCTTGGTGATCCATGTTTGATTTCTTCTTCGTAGCGTGATCTCATTTTTCATGTAGAGGGTGGTGTTCCAAAGCCTGCGTCTGGTAGCGCGACCAATGGGAATTAGACCTGCTTTTGAAATCAATTCAGAAAAAGATGGTGCAGGAGTTTGGGCGTGCTGTAGGGTCCACTCCAAAAACAAGTGCAAGGTGGCGGCGCAAGCCCGTAAAATGGTTTAATCTTTAAACCATTTCATGGTTCCTCTGAGGCAGAATTTCAGCGTACGCCCTGAATGCAGTTTCCATTCTATGCTTCATTATCCCTATATCACCCCTATATACTATAGTAGTTTCCATTGTAATTTCCATTGTCCCTATACAGTATTACAATTGGCAGGTCCGCGTGGCCGCGGATTTCTATGCCAATTCAGGCACTGGGAGTGCTTGCAAGGTCAGCTGGCTCAAGTCATAGCAGTGGGGATGGGTGCCTCCACAGAATTGGCCCAACACGTGCAAGTAAGGAGCTAGAAACGTCTTTTTGGTCGTGATGTGCCGCGTGTGCTCAGGTACCGAGCTTCAGGGCAGGAAAATGCTTTCAGAGCAATTTTCGAACTGCTGCAAAATAAATCTTGCATTATTCACAACCTGACTCATGATGTCTAATTCGATCGTGTCTCAAGCTGCGTTGAATGGCAATATTGACAGCAGAACAGCGATTGCCGTTTCTTTCGGAAACACCGTGCTTGCTCCAACTTCGCTTGCTTTCCCTCTCTCCCTGGCTCATTGTTTTTCTGGCTGTCTTCCACCCTTACACATGTGTTGAGCGTTCCGAAAGCTGTGGCTTTGCGTAAATTTATTGCCTTGAAGCCTCCTGTCAAACCTTCCCACGCGCTAAGTTGTATTGTGCGATCTCTGCAAGAGCCCTTTCAAATTCAATCAAATCGGAATCTCACAACTGTTGTTCTCCTTAAGCACTACGGTGGATACGACACTGAGTACCTTATACCTTAGGAATTATAGTATTATAGTAGACCGAGGTCATGCAGGACTTTTAGTATCAACAGTACTTAAAAAGAAGGAACAGACCAAAGAGGGGACGGGGACATTGCTCAAGGCAACATTAGGGTTATATTGGGATAATATTAGGGTCATATTAGGGTTATATGGGGTTATAATGGGGTTATATTAGGGTTATGTGGGGTTAGAAACCCCTAAACCTTGAACCCTAAACCCTAAACCTTTCAGACGAGGCGGCAGCGCCACGTTGATTGCTCACGGGCTGTCTCAGTCAGAAGCCTCCGAACAACGGCGGCTTTGGACCTTTGAGGCCTTGTGGTTTAGGATTTAGGGTTTAGTGTTTAGGGGTTTAGGGTTTAGGGGTTTAGGTTTTGAGGGTTTAGGGTTTAGGGGTCTAGGTTTTGAGGGTTTAGGCGTTTAGGGTTTAGGGTTGCGCACGCAAAGGTGTCCATACAGTGGGAGGAAGGGAATCCATGATGAACTTGAGCAAACTCCCTCTTCAAGATTGTTGGCTGGAGTTTTGCTTTTCCAGATCTTGCGGTTTCATGCCATTTCTCAATGTCAGGGCTGTAGCAGGGCTGCAGCAGCTTAGGGCAGGGTATGCATTCTGGAGCAACTTCAGCAGAGACCCAGACCTCTGAAAGGATCTCCCCATTATGGTACCTATTGGGCAGTTTCTAGGAACTTTTACGGGGATCTACTTTGGAGATCCGCCCAGGGGTCTGGATAGCTTGATAGAATCAACTTTGCTGCAGGCCACTAGGATCCTGAGCCCTAACAGAACCCCTGAAGCTGAAACCTGAATCATCCTAAATGGTACTTTCTCCCTAAATAGGGGGACCCCATTGAGACCCCAAATTGCTATACTCCTTAGTATGGACACCCCAAAAAAGGTACCCCGATTTTTGGGAAACCCCTAAATCTTGATCCACTGAGCCCCCTGAGCCTTAAAGCATGAAGGTGCAGGCTGATTGGGCAGCCGCTACGGCAAGAAGCTTGCAGGCATCATGGCTGCAAAAAGGGAGCTTCTCATGGTATAGTCCATCTCGAGAAGATAGAATATGGGAAAAATGGGGATCTTATTATAATATACCCATAACCATATTCTATCTACTGAGGGAGGACTATTTTACGCTTCCACTGGCTGAGTTGGTCTAAATAGTTTATGTATGAATGGGCTGGTGGGCGCTGAATAGAGAGGTGCTTTGGGTACGTAGGATGCGAAAAGGAAACGTGCATGTGGCGCCCTATTACAAGGGTTTTCATGACAGCTTGGCCATGGCCAGACATCCCTACATATCTTCTACAGATTTTCGATCTGGGTGATTTGAGACCGCAGCAATCAGCTTCCAAAACGGAAAGTCCGGTACTAAAGAGGTTGGAATAATTTGGGCAAGTAGGCGTCTCGGACGGTCCAGGCAGCCGCCATGTTGCAGTAACACATGGAAAGTTATCAAAATTGTGCATCCATTTCGGGCATCCCCAGCGTGAGGAGCATATTATTACACTAGGCACCCAAAACGGGATCATGATTTTGGCAATGCGCTATATATGTTTCCATCACACCGCTGGCACGTTCTGGCCACCCTTCAGGGCCGTCCGGCAACTCCCATACCTCTGGTACGCTGTGGAGGGCCTCTAAGGTTGACTTTAGCCATCCTACATGATCTTAATATACCAGAATACCACACTTCCCAAGATATAAAGGCACTTACAGTCATGCAGGATTCGCTTCACATCCTTCGTAGTCTCAAGGCTGCGGGCGCTGACGTTGCAGTTGCAGCTCGGACTGGTTGATCTGCTGCTTATGCAACCCCTAAACCCTAAAACCTAACCCCTAAACCCCTAAACCCCTAAATCCTAAACCCCTAAACCCTAACCCCTGAACCCTGGTATAGCTGGAACGATTTAACAAGAAGCTGGAAAGATGTCAAGGCTTGCTGGCGCTTCAGGGGAAGTGTTGGAGTGAAGTGAGGGGGACTATCAGAGGAGGGTTTAGGGTTTCGGGTTTCGGGTTTAAGGTTTAGGGTGGATTCTAAAAGGGGTCCACTCCCTCACTCCCTACCCTAAAACCCTTGCAAACCTAGACCCTGAACACTATATGTAATTCGTAGCTTCCATGTTCTTTTTCCACTCCCTTTCCTGGACCTCCAAAATAAGCAAAATGATGTTCTAAATTCGAAGGCTCCTAAAATGGTCAAGGAAGCCCATATTCTATGCTATATGCCCAGGGTGCATTTCATTTGCCTTGATTTCTTTTCCATTTGATTCGCCATTATTTGGGTAGTACCCCTAACTCCGTCAAGCAGCAATCAGAATTAATAGGCTGTCCACGAGAGAGGAACTTATTTTGGGAACATCGGCATCTTAGGACGCCGTGGGGAGGAAGGGCCTGCGCAGTTCTTGCTTAACTCTCTCTCTCTATATATATAAATATACAGATTTATGAAGAGACACGTTTGTATTCACACGCATGCTCATGAGCTGTTGTGTGTGTGTGTGTGTGTGTGTGGTTTGTTGTGTGTAAACATGCACAGCAAAATCCACCCCCCTCAAAGACGCCAAGGGGCGCAACCGTTCAGGTAAAGCCAGCATGGGCCGGCTCGGCAGCTCAGGAAACCTTGCTTTCTGAGGCTCGCTTTGAGATACTTCCTCAGGAGCTCGTCAGGGTGAATTTTGAAAGCGAAGCCCAGCAGGGCAGATATCACATGTATTGAAGGAAGACTAAGAAACTCGAACTCAGCAAGCAGATTCACATGAAGACGTTGAAGAGCGAGTCAATTGCAATTTGGCAGGCCCGTGGCGGTGACCCTCGCTCAGCCGTTCGCGCTATCGTGGTTGCAGAGGCATGGGCTTAGCTACATGATCTCCGGCATCCTCAGTGCAAGCACCGCCACCTTGGCATCGCAGTGTCCTACCGTGTGCCTTGTGACCATCGACCCTGAAGAGTGACTGTGCACAAGATTGCCCTGACATTGGATTTCTAGCTGTCAGCCATAGGAGTCACGAATTGCATGAAGAATGGTGCATGCATGAAGGCATCATGAAGGTGTGACTTGATGTCTGCAATGTTCAAGGTGCATAGGAGACGGTGACCTAACCTGGTTCCCCGCGGTCCCTTTGCTCTCGCAACCATGGCACCGGCTGACGCACTACCCGCCCTTATGGAGCATGACGTCACCGTAGTGAACACATTCCTTCAAGTTTCTGATCGTCCACGTCCTCGAGGACAGCGCCTGCAGCGGGCTCAGACAGCACCCGTGGCTGCGCCCGACGAGGAGGATCAGCTTGAGACCGAGGAGCCCCAAGCTGAAGAAGGCGAGGAAGATCACTTTGAAGCCGCCCGGGACATCCCAGAGCCCCGGGTTGAGAAGGAGGTTACTGAGGATACCGAGGAATCCTCAGAGGTCAAGCCGGTGAAAATGAATGCCAAGAAGCTCCAGAGTCTACGGACCCTGAATCGATTTGAAACACCGGACCCATGGGATCTAGAAGCATTGTGCAAAAGTCTCGATGAGTCTCCCGAGGAGCCAGCATTGCCAGCAAAGTCGGCATCCTCCTCGAAGCCCCGCTTGCTTCATTCAGCAACTCCAGACCAGTGGGAATGGGACGCCATGGTCCAAGCAGAGAAGATGACCAGCCAGATCCAACAGCCCCAGCCAGGCCCAGCCCATCCTCCCCCAGCAATGGCCCAACCCAGTCAGGCACAGGCCTTCAACCACCCTCCGCAGCCCTGTGTGGCGCAGGCGGCCCCGGTCGTGTCGCTGCTGACGGTACCCGTGACACTCGCAATGCCCGTGGCCTCTCCGGCGCAAGTGGTGCAGGCTGGCTGTGAGTATCCTCGCCTGTTGGGTAGCATGAGCCCTGCGTCCCAAGGCTCGCCAAAACCCACCTCCCCCAGCCAGTCCCCACGTGTCCGCCCTGGGACGCTGGAGACCACGCACCTGGACCAGAATCGGGAGCTCGTGAAGTGGAATGTGGATGGTGCCAAGTTCGACTCCAACTCCGAGCGACTCTTGAGCCCAGAGTTCCAACTACGATTTCCGGGGCACTCAGAGCCCTTTACCTTTCGCATGGTCATCAATGCCACAGAGACGGGTGGAAAGCATGGTGCCGGCTTTAAGAAGGCGAAGGGGCGGGGCAGCATCCAACTCAAGTGCTCTTCGGCAGTGCCTTCAGATGTGGACAGTGTCACGGCCCTGGTTTCCATTGGAGAAGGAACTCGCAAGCAGATTGGTCTTAAGCCCATTGAGCACAATTTTGGTGACAAAACATGCTGCCAGCTTCGGAATGGGGACGAAGCAGATTGGGACTTCAAGCAATCAGTCAGCAGAGATGCCAAGAGTTGCGAGATCTCAGTGGAGATTCATCTTTGAGGGTGCCCCCCTGCTCGCCGACTACTGAAGATATGTTTGTCAATTCACTTGCTTGCATGCGTTTGATGTATTGATCTTGGCCCTGGAGTCACGAAGATGGGTGATTAGAAGCTTCATCACTTGCGTGAATAGGTGCGCTTTTGCGTTTCAGTCTTTCTCTATCCTTAGTGGAACTCGTGGCGCTGGGGCCAAGGTAAGGGACAAGAGTTCCCTTTAGTGAACTTTGCTGCAGTTCCATGCTTGTCCTTACAGTAAGGCAAGCCGGAAACCTGTGATAGCCGCTGCAGTTGCCATATGTTCGGATTTGCTTCGTTTTATCGCCCTCCTTTCCAGCTGATGCCTTACAATCTTTGGCAGAGGCAACGGAAGACTTGAAGTTTCCTCCGAAGCAAATCCCAGGAAGCCAGCTAGTTAAAGGCAGCTGGCTCGTAGTGAACCGCTGCTAATTCTTGCAAGACTGGGTGAGTCTTTAGGCCCTCCTTTGATTCACCCTGAATCTGCTACTGTATAGGGTCGTTGTCTAAGAACGAAGCCAAAATAGTAGCCTACTGTAAGACCATGGCATGCCAAGACACGTAAAAGGCACACCGACTTACTTCCAAAGAGCTTCATGGAGTGTTTTGTCAATTCCGCACATATCTTTCTTGACCAAAGTGGGTCAAAATGACAAACAGGTGCCTGCCCCGATCTTATTGTGACATACCCGAAGCTCTCTTCTATTACCTAAAGCGGTCTATACCCTATGATGTCGACAACTCCCCGACGCAGGCCATCTGGATGTTGTTGCTTTGTAGAGTGGGCCCAAAGCACGGATGTGGGCCTGTGCCAACATGAGGGTCTTCCTTGTCAATACATAAGCGTCCGAACATAAGGGCCGCGGAAATGGGAGGATATTCTGGTCCATGCCCACATCTTGCCAACAGTGACTAACTTGTAAAGAGTCAAGTGCTACAACCACGCGACGCCGGAGATGAACAAGTTGACCGCATGCCTCTGCTCAGGACATTGCTCCACATGGCTAAGTTCTCAAAAACAGGGCTCCCTTCACTAAGGGTTTAGGGCTTTATGTCAGGACTATGACAAGGGGCCCTCAAGTTTGAGACATCGCCGTGTATCCCGTAGTCTGCCAGAATTCGTGATGTAGTGGCTCCCAACAAGGACTTCCAGTGGAATTTCTCAGAAACTGGCATCCTGGCTGCAGGGCCTCCCACGGAACCACAATACAGAGAATGGGGGGAATTGTTAAGGATCAAAAGTTGGCAAGAAGCATTTTTCGCCCTGCACATCCTAATGCTGTATTTTCCTTATACCTGTGTGATTCATCGAGAGATCCATCGACCATGTTTGTCTGTTTGTGTGCACACTTCCTGTAGAGCCACAGGGTGCGCAATACCCTCCCTCATCTTCGTCTGGGTTGTTGTTAAGGAACTTAAATTAAGTTACCATAATGGGTATATATAGTAAATGATAGGGTTCCCCCAATATAGTAACCCTATACCCTAAACCCATTATAGTAGCTTAATTTAAGTTCCTTAACAGCAACCCAGTCGTAGGCCCCTGCCTTCCCGCACGATGCACCGGGCGCCGGGATCTTGGCATTCGGGAGGCCGCATGAGCCATAATCTAAACTCCTTAAAGGGGGTTATATAGGGGATAATATAGGGGATTATTATAGGGCTGTTAAGTGGGATACTAGGAGTTTAGACTACAGCTCACATGAAGGCTCTGGTTCGGCCTTTTTGGTGTAGGGTAGTGGATGAAGCAATAGAGTGCAGTTTGTATTTCTGGTTGCGGGCTACCCGCTCGGATCCAAAAAAGCCTTGGGGGGACAAGGGACTTGATATCATAAGTTCAAAAAAGGTCACAGCAAAGATTTCTTGCGGCTCTTGGATCTGTAGCAGAGCCGGAAGGAGCGTAATGTTAAATCCCGATTAGTGTCAGGAGCCTTAATTGCTTGGGGCCCTTAATTGTGCGAAGTTGCACGTCCAAAAAAAAGTGCAGAATAATTCAATGGAGACCCTTTTAAATGGCTTCCAAAACCCTTCTGATCTATTGCCGGCCGATCCAATTTGATTTAACCCTAAGATCCAGATTTGCAGGGGGGGGACAGCACCCCATTACATCAATCAGGGACCCTATTTTGTTTGCTCGACATTATCAGTGATGACAGTGATTTGTTCCGGGATGAGGGGCCGCTGCAGGGAAAGCACTGTAGGATGAGTTGTAACAAAAATCTCAAGAGCAGTCTGGGCGAGATTCGCAACCAGAAAATGAAAGCGAGCATCTACATCTTTCCCTGAATGGAGGAATCTGGACCACTTGCCATATGTAGAGATCTGCCAGGGTTGCAAAAGGAGGGGCGTGGGGCAGAGTGCCTGCCAGGCACGCATGTCAGGATTTTGCAGTTTCGAAATTGTCCAGGCCGGAATGGACAGCTTATTCCATGGCACTCCTTTTTCGACTGCTTTGAATCTCGAGCTTGGGGCTTTGGACCAACCTGCTAAATGCCGCCCTTCTTCGGGCTGGAACGTGAGACTTAATCAGCGATATTCACAAGGAGGATGCTGCGAGTTCTTCTCTTCTGTGGGGGACCTCAGCTGCTCATTGGTGATTGGGCTTGTGTGAGGGTTGCGTGGACATCGCGTCTGACGTTTGTGTGGGTCGCGTGTAATTACTTAGGCGCTGGCCTTGAAAACATGATGGAGTGCCAGCAAACTCTAGACTTAGACCCCGGTCGGTCAATTTCCAATGGTAATGTTCAGATTTTGTAGCCAGGTGTTCGTGAATCCGTACTGTACGCTGCATGAAGAACACCCTTTTGTGCAGCTGGTGCCATCACGGACCCCTAGAGAAACCTATATATTCGCCCATCCAAACCCCTAAACCTTACGTACTTCATATACAGATTTGCTTAGAGATATAAATTGCCCCATTCCCGCACTGCATGGGCAAATCCTTCAGGCGGGCACCATGCATGGAGAAGCCCGGCATACAGTTTGCCTTCATCGACCCGCTTGAGGTCAGCAAGCTTCCTTAATGTAGATATGTGTTCCGATTTCCAGACATTGAAGTAGTACTGTATTTCAAGGGCTGCGCCTGTGCTTGATCTTAGGGTTTAGGAGCTTGGGCACAGAACATGGCCCCTGCTTCAACACTCGCACCCTTGCAGAAAGCTCTCAATCCTGCTGGAACGGTTTATCAGGCCTTTGTCCCTGAGTTTTCCACGCTCTTCACGTCTGGCCCTTGGTGGTGTCATGTCTTGGTGGACCTGAGGGTCTTCGGTAGAGCCAGTAGGGCTTGCACTACCCGTGCTAATCTCCCGACATCCGTAATGAAGATATCAAACCCAAGCCCTCGTCAATGTATTGACTTAAGCTGAGTTGGGGATTGTTGCGAGGCGACAACCTGTCCATTTCCTTTCAGAAGGAACAGTAGGATAGGGACCTAAAAATTGCCAGTATTGTTGCCCTAGAGTCCTTGCACCATCATGGTGTAGGGCACCTCAAATAGACGTGCGGACCAATATCGGTCAAAAATTGGACCCCCACATGACAGCCCGTATAAGCCCCAACAGAAACCCAGCTTCCATTCCATTTTCCACGTTCTTTTCCATGTGATTCTCCATTATTGGCACTATCCAAATAAAACTCTATATAATGCTCATAGCCCCTTTAAGGAGACCTACTGTTTCAATTTCATTTCCCAACCCTAAACCCTAAACCTATCAAAACCCTAAACCCTAAACCCTAAGCCCTCAGTCCATAATTGGTATTTTTGGGGCACCTGTTTTGGGTTTGTAACAGCCTGGAGCCCTGTTCCCCTTAGAGCACGCTAAGCCCTACTATCCCAAGCCTGCAATTCCACTGAGGTTATAGTCTGAACTCCTTAAGGGGGGTTATATCGGGGAGTATTATGGGGGTTATTCAAGGGGATACTAGGAATTTAGAGTAGAGCCCATGTGGTAGTTTCCATAAATTGGTAGGTGATCCCAAGATAGACCCCAACATACTACAGTCTTGGTTACAGGTACTCTTAAGCAGCTACCCCTGAAGATCTCTGAGATACATGCCAAGCTGCAGACCGCCTCAACTTCAATGCGGGTTTGCACAGGTCTTGCCCGGACCTGAAGTGGATAGCTGTCACTCGCTCAGCCAGCTGTGTTTGCATGGTGACGACAGCTTAAAAACGTTTCGCCTACAAGACGCGGCTCTTGTAAGCGACTGATATCAGAATAGCAAGAGATTCCAGGCCGCCACCAGATACTGCGATAGTGAACTTACAGTCTTGTTGCCGAGACTACAACTCTTAAGCCCACAGGCCTTCAACATTAGATGCCAAACCTGCTGAATCCCTCGAGGTTTAACCCTTACAGGGAGGTCTCCTCACCACACTTTCCTGTATCCTTGCATCAAGACGCGCATTAACCCTCCAAGAATCTGAGCTGAATGGCAAGAAAGTTGTCAAGGAGAACCTCAAGCTCCAGAGCCCGGGACGAGTTCCCTTTAAAGGGGGGTTATAGGGTTCAGAGGTTAGGGCTCCCAAACAAACTTAGGGGTACCTTTCCGGGATCGCAGTTTAGGTGGTCTACTGTATGTTGGGTCCCCCTATTCATGGAAGCTAGCAAACAGGTATGTGTGTATGTGCATCTATCACGTATGCTCAGGGTGCACTCATGTATGGTCCTGAGAAACTGTTCCACATGGGTGGTTGTCAAAATT